AACGTTGGCATCTTTAAAATTACCGACAAAAGCACATCTTGAACCAGGAGGAGGCTCATTTTCTCGCACCCTACACTCGAAATAAATTAGTGTTTGGGGTTGAACCTTCCTGGTCCATTATTTTCTTCATCGCTTTTTTCGGATAAATTAGCAACAATTTATAGATTCTGCATCTTTTTCTTTTTTTGGAAATGATCAGGATTGCTCAACTGTCTATTACTCATAGTTATTTTTTCAAATTTCTTTGTCATAAGCTTAATCTCACTGGCAAAAAAAAAGCGGAGTTGTTCAACTGTAGCCCCAGTGATACAGCATTCATCTGCTGTCAGTAGTTTCATTGCGTCTCAAAAATACCTTCAGCTCGAAAGACTTGTTGACATCAATTTACGAACTGTATGATTAAAAAGGGCTTTAAAAAACATATTTCCTTATCATCTGTTTCGAGATAGCCACTGCTTATCAAAATGATAGTAAGCCGTATTTTAAGAATTTTTGCCGATTTCTTGCAAATTAATATTGTAGTCGACTTTACAAAAAATAGTTTTTGTTGTGATGCTAAACTTCAGAGCGCTAAAAGCAGTTACAAAAATCTCTGAGAAAAGTGTTCTGGTGAAAATGTAGGAGTTGGAACGTATCTGAGCTATTTTATCTTGATCGGCACTGTCTTGGTTTCACCTTGCCATAAAACAGTGCGAATTTCCAGCACTTTATATTTTGAGTTCATCTCATTCACTCAGCTCCAAGTAGATCTGTTTATTTCACTGACGACATTCTTAGTGCCTCTTACAACACTGCTTGAGTATCATTCAATAATCCAGTTTATATGCTTTATTGAGGGCATGAATGAGTTGCACTCAGATTCGAAGTGCAGTTTAGGCTGATACTGTATTCTTTCATAGTCACATAGGTTAATATTGCTATCTGAAAGGCATGAAATTGCTTTTTTGTGTGTAATAATCAGCAGTGTTGATTTTTGATGGGAAGATATCAAGGATATACAGGCAGTGAAGCGATATCTGAATGTTCGACTTCGTAACAGTACTTTGGTTCGATTTACCATGGTAAGTTTTAATGCAGAACATTATCAGGATAATGAGAGAGAGAAAGTCAAATTTGCTAGGCCGTGTGAGCTGCGTATTTTAGAAGGTGTATGGTGAAAATGGTAGCACCTAGGGGCAAGCAGGATAGGTCATCAAGTACTCATATTTGCGTGTGCAGCGTGAAATTGCATCGTGGTGACATCAGCAGTCTGAAATAAGGACCAATTTATTGCTTGACCTGATGTAAATCCTGGAAAAATTTTGCCTTTAGATAGAAAACTTGAAAAACCAATCTTTCCTGCATCGCTTTTTGAGCCACTCAGTGATAGTTCCAGACTACTGTAATGTAAAGTTGGGTTGAGCATATTAAAAGTCATTCGCTTTCTATGTGAAGCGGAGACACTCGAGAAGTAGCCCGAATGGCAGCAGGTGTCACTGGCTAGACTGTCGATAGCTCCCACTTTCGAGGAGTGCTTAAAAGCAGGCAGGCCCGTTGCCTGGCGCATGCCACCTGTTCCAATTTACCGTCAAAACAAATGAATGAATCGTAGAGGGAGAAAGAATGGCATGCATAATAAATGATAAACAAACAACTTTCCTAGAACCTTTTCTCACTGAGATGGCAGAAACGGAGAATGCTCAAAAAGCTATCTCCTGGATTTTCTCTGTATTTTTAGGAAGATGCAGAAATGGCACGTTATGTAACAATGGTTATGATGTGGCAATTTCGATATGCAACAAACGAGGCAATCGTTGAGAAAAATTCCCCGATGAAGTGAGTTTACCTTTCAAACAGTAAAAATTCCTAGCAAGTTTAATAATTAGCCAACGCACCGGCTGCCTGTGCAAAGATGCGTTTTTGCATAGCTCCCCACAGTTTTTGCAGCTACCGGCACTAGTTTTTCCGGCAAATGATTCTAGCTAAACAAATCAAGATTGGCCGCCAGAACTGTCAGGAAACACTCACTTAAAATTTCAGCTTTCTAACTTTCTTGGCTCCCGAGTTAGCAGCTTACCCGAAAAAACTTTCACGATCCCTTACGTGGGTACCACGCGTACCCGGAGGCTGGATTTGAGCTCATTTGAGCGTCTGTAACGAGTTTTCATCTCGAGATCCACAAAAGCTACAAGGCTGAAAAATTTCCTGACTTAATCTACACATACGTGCGGACTCGTATCATCAAAATGGGCGCTCAAGTCCGCGTGGTTCTCATGTAGGGGCACGTGAAAGTTTTTTGGCGGGAAAGCGTTTTCGAGAACGGCCCATGCTAGGAGGCTGGGGCTTCACAGAGTTGTTCAATGCCGCGTCTAATCCAAAGATTTCAAATTTAGCCCTCACGCACCCTCAGGACTCACGTACGCACACGTCAAGGTTTAAACTGGCATCATGCCAACTCCAGATTTAAGGTGATCAATAAGCTGCAGAGAGCTGCAGTTCTGCAGCGTTACTTGTCGCCCACTGTTGTGTCCGTGAAAATAAATTGCTTGTCAGCTCTTCTGCATCTCACGTACGAACACGTAAAAATTTCACGCATGCGCTTTTGTAGTTGTAGAATTGAACCAGCCAAAGGCTCTGAACTTTCTGAGCATAACCGATGGTGCCCTTTTACCACATGCACGCAAGAACGACTTACATGTCATCTTCACGTCTCGCGTACGTTTCACGTGTACACACGTGAAATTCGACGTAACTTCACATCCAGAGCAGCTGGAGTGCTGAAATTTTCTGAGCGTTGCCCAAGACCGTGTGTGAATAACCGCGGACGGTGCCACTCACGTAAGAAGACGTGAAATTCGACGTAACTCTGCAGCCAGGGCAGCTGGAGTGCTAAAACTTTCTAAGCGCTACCCAGGACTGTGTTTGACCAACTGCGGGCGAAGAAAGCACTCACTTTGCCACTCACTTACGAAGACGTGAAATTTGACGTAACTCTGCAACCAGAGCAGCTTGAGTACTGAAACTTTCTGAGCGCTACCCAGTACCGTTTTTGGTCAACTGCGGGTGAAGAAAGCACTCACTTTGCTACTCACGTACGAACACGTGAAATTTGGCGTAACTCCGCAACTGAAGCATCCAGAGCGCTGAATTTTTTGGGAATGGATTGGGAGTCATTGTAATAATTTCTAACAGTCGTGGTGGACAGTCACAATTCTTTTAGCTAGAAGCATTTACCGGGAAGAGCGTGCTACTGGCGAAAAAAACCTGCGGGGGAACTTGCAAAAAACGCATCCTCGCACCGGCAACCGATACGCTTTCGACTAAGTTATGATTTTGCATAGTCGCAAGTTCAACTATTTTAAAGTCTTTCATTTTCTGAGATTTTCATGCAGCTGCATGGATTTCCTTGATCATAATCAAAGGAAGTGATCCTGAAAATTTGTACTGATAATAGATAAAGCCCTGTATTGCGTCGGTTTGAATCCCCGAGAATTTGAGTGGAGCACAACGCACCAAATTACATTTTTGGCAACTACTGGTTGCGTTGTACCAAAAGCAGCCCTTAAACATCCATCGTTTCAAGCAGCATTGTCCTGTCCGTGATAGAAAATGTTGTCCACATTCTAATACTGCAGCAATTTCTGTGGCGGG